AGAGCCATATAAGACCCCAAATAGTTAAATCAATCTGGACAGAAAAGAGGAAAAAAGGAGACATCACACTTCCTGACTTCAAACAATATTACACAGCAACACTAATCAAATCAATATGGTACTGGAAAACAGAAACTCAGACCAACAGAACAGAATTGAAAACCCAGAGACAGACCCATATAAACAGGGGCAGTTAATCTTTGACCAAAGAGTTACAGTCATACAATGGAGAAATGATAGCTTTTTCAATAAATGGTGCTGGGAAACATAGATAGCCACATGCCCAAAAAATCAATAAAACAAGACTCATTTAACTTCATACAAAAAAATTAATTGAAAATGGATTAAACATTTGGGTGTAAAAACCAAAACCATAAAATGCTTGAAATAAAGTATAGGGGACACATGACTGGACATCTACTACTACAAAGAAGTTTTGGGGGACTCAATCCCAACAGTGAAGAAAACAAAAACAAAAACAAACAAGCTGAGAAGTTTTTGTACCTGTGGAAAATGGTATAAGAATTTCTCAAGAAAATAGATGGAAATTCTATATGACTCAGAATTCAACTCCTGCGTATTTATCCAAAACCATGAAAACTCTAATAGGAAAAGGTTTACCTACATCTATGTACATAGCAGCACTTCTCACAACTGTCATGGTATGGAACCAACTCAAGTGCCCTTCGACAGAAGAAAAGTTAGAGAAACTGTGGAGCATATACTCAATGGAGTATTACACAGCTGGATAAAAAGATGAAAGGGCATTTAGGAAAAAATGGATGGATCTAGATGTAATTATGCTGAGTAAAATCAATAAAGTTGACAGATTTTGGAAGGTTTCATTCATCTGAAAACACACATAAGCAACAAAGGGAATAAACTTGACCTCAGCAAAAAAAAAAAAAAAAAAAGATAACAGTTACCTGAGGAAATGGGGAAAGGGTGTTGGGGGTGAGGGAGGGAGGCAGATTAGGGTATTGGCATGGGTGGTTTGGTAAAGGATAAAAATAAGAAAGAAAGAAATGGAGAGTTGCAATATGGGGAAATTGTGTCTAAAATCTTTATACAGGCCGTCCCTGGTGGTGCAGCGGATTAAAGCGCAGCACTGCAAGCAAGCCACCGCCCCTTCAATGTGAGTTCGATCCCCACTCCGGAGGTGACCACATGGCGTAGCACACCTCTCCTGTCGCCCACTGTTCCCCTCAGCAATGTACTTCATAGATCTGCCTGTTCTGCTTTCCACTCTGTCTCTGGTGAATCCTCTCACCACCTCTGTACCCCAGTTCTGATGCATAAATAAATAAATCTTTAAAAATAAATAAATAAAAATAAAATTTTTATACAAAGATTAAGAGAGAAAATTATAAGGACAGTACTGCTTTATGGTCACACTAACAGAACTGAACTATGGATAAAGGAAGAAAAAAGTAATGGTCTGGGAAGTCTGGTATGGAGTGACTTGTGTTACAAGGTCCAAGGCATCTATCTCTGTTATTCTCTCAAAAATGAACAAGAAGTACTTCATGGTGACTCAGAAGAGATGTGCCCCTCCTTTGTAGTGTCTCCGCTGTTTCTTGGAAAGCATATCGAATCTGTCAGGATTGTAGGTCATAGTGATTGCACCAGGGCTCAGGAAACAGAGTACAGCTCCAAGATTTTACAGTATAGAAAGTACAAAACCATGTGTGCATGATTTAAAAAGTAGCCAGTAATACTATGGTGATGGCACATGGGTGATTTGGTGATGGGAAGCCCACAGGGATTACAACTGAAATGGAAAAGGGCACAAAATGATGTAGAAATAAACTATTATATTAAAATTTAAAAAATTTTTTTGAAGTATCCAGTATTTCAATTCCTACAAAGAGTGTCCTTCTAAAAAGGACAGCCAAACAAGAAAACAATCATCTTAGGAAATTTTAACCTTTTACTATACTAATATCAATTAGGGGAAATGACTACCTTGTAGTTGACTCCTTATTTCTCTGGAAAAGTGAGGTGTGGTCTTACTGCCACAAAAACATTCCATTTCCAGGGGATTACAACTGAGATGGAAAAATGCACAAAATGATGTAAAAATAAACAAACTATTATATTATTTTTTTTAAAAAATTCTGTTCCCTAATATTTTGACCTCCTGTCATGAGTGACAGGGTATCTACATTATTTGAAGCCATCTCTGTGGCCAATAACCTAATCACCAAGTCCATCAAATGTGGCACTTCCACATGTTTCCTGAAGAATGCTCTTCTGCCTCCACTGCCGTATCATCCTCTTCCCAGACTCAGTTTGTCCTATTTTGTAAGTTTTTTGTTCTCTGACTCCCTTGGAATTTTGTCAGGGAAGCCTACTATCCAAATCCTGAGCCTTCCCTTAGCTCTGCATAATCTCTACCACAGAACACATCTAGGTCTGTAACTTCATTTATGACAGTGATGGTTCTGCCCTTGGCGAACATTTGGCAATGTCTGTAGACATATCTGGTTTTCACAATTCAAGAGTGATGTGCTACTAGCATTTAGTGGGTACAAACAAGGAATTCTGCAACACATCCTATAATGCCCAGGACAAATCACAGCAACAGAGAACTATTTCAAATGGCCCCCCCAAACATATCAAATACCCCAAAATGTTAATAATGCCACTGTTTGGAAATCTTAATGTACACAGATGACTTCAATTTATTCATTCCTCTATCTGACAAATAGGTAACTGTTGTTATGACTTTCATACCCAAGGTAATGAGTGGGGAATTGGCTACACAGGGGAAGTGCAGATTCTGGCCTCAACCTGAGAGGCATTCTACCCTGAATGAAAGAGCACTACTTGGTGGAAATGAACAGAGCCTCAGTCTAAACCAAACCAATATTCTAACCACCTTTGTGATAGTTCCAAACATTTATATGTTCCAAACCAAATACTTTGCCACATTTCCCTTCTACCCACCCACATTGCCATCTAACTTGTTCATCTTCTTACACACAATAAGTTCTATCATCATCCTAGATAAACATCAAAGTCTAGGACATCAGAAGTGTTGGTACATTTAAAATTATTTCCCTTGCCTGAGATGCAAATTAAAACCACAGTGAGGTACTACCTCACCCCAGTGAGAATGGCACATCTTAAAACAACTAGCAACAATAAATGTTGGCGAGAATGTGGAGAAAAAGGAACTCTCCTACACTGCTGGGGGAATGCAAACTAGTACAACCACTATGGAAAACTGTTTGGAGGTTCCTCAAACTGCTAAACATGGAACTTCCCTACAACCCAGCAATCCCACTCCTAGGTGTCTACCCAAAAGACACAAAAACACTGATTCAAAAAGATACCTGCACCCCCATGTTTATTGCTGCTTTATTTACAATTGGAAAGACATGGAGACAGCCCAAATGCCCAAAAGTGTATGATTGGATTAAAAAGATGTGGTATATATACACAATGGAATATTACTCAGCAACCAAATAAATACATAAATAAATAAATAAACACATGCCTTTTGTAGAAACATGGATGGAGCTGGAAAAGATCATGCTTAGTGAAATAAGCCAGAAAGAAAAAGAAAAATACCAGATTGTTTCACTCATAGCAGGAGTATAATGGACCAGGCGAGAAAATAATAATAATAATGAACAGCTATATACCAGAGACATTTTATGGGGGTGGAGTGGGGAATGGAATCAAAAACAGAGGGGGGAAGGAAATGCACTGGACTATGGTGATGGCACATGGGTGTTTTGGTGATAGGAAGCCCAAGGGAATTACAACTGAGATGAAAAAAATGCACAAAATAATGTAAAATTAAATATTATTATTATTTTTAAAAACAAAAAAACAATTTACACATGGGAGAGAAAAAAAATTATTTCCCTTACCTAACCCTGAATTAAAGGCCAGGTCATAGTGAATTCTCCCCACCCACTATGTCAACCACTTTTCCCCTACTGCGACAAGCTCAAGAAACTCTTTGGAGTCTAGCACTGCAACACACTTTTCAGCGTCTTTGATTATTGCTGGTATTTTTAAGGCAAAAAACTACACAGTTGAAGGGTATGGGGGTAGTGAAAGAGCATGTGCTTTAGGGTCAAAATATAATTTGAAATCTTAGCACTATTTGGTAACTTAGTCAACTCTGAACAACTTACTTACTTTTTCTGAGCCCCAATTTCTCTGATAAAACAAACCCATCTAAATGAAAGGTTTGTGTGTAAAGATAAAGGAATGTGAAATATCATAAGTTTTTACTACATGGTAGCTATTATGATATTATAACTGTGTCTAACCTATATATATTTCAATGCTGTAGATAATTAAATATTAAATTTGAAGTAGACTAAAAATATAAGCTATAATCATAATAATGTATTTCTAACCTTTACTAGGTTTCCCTCAATCTTTTTAGGTGCCAATTACTTTTTTAGAGCTTCATTTTATGCTTAGTTGATAAAATGACTTATGGGCCCTCCCTGGTGGTACAACGGTTTAGGGCACAGCACTTCAAGCTAGCCACAGCCACTTCAGTGTGAGTTTGATCCCTAGTTAGGGAGGTGATTCACATGGTGCAGCAGACCTCTCCTGTTTTACCTGCTGCTCCTCTCAGCAGTGTACTTCCTTGATCTGCCTATTCTGCTCCTCACTCTGTCCCTGGTGAGTCCTCTCACTGCCCCTGCTCTAACTTGTACCCCAGTTCTGTATGCACAAATAAATAAATCTTAAAAGAAAAAATGACTCACACCAAAAGAAAGAGTGGAGAATTTTTAAAGACAGTGGTAGTCTATGCAGGTTTATTCTAATCCCACTTAACCAAGCAAAACGTAATCTATAGAGTTAAAACTCCCACATCTACATATATTCATAACATATATTTGCTATGTATAAACCCAGCAACAAGGGTGGGGGAAAAGAGATAAATAAATAACCCCAGCAACAGAGGGTAGGTAGGTGAATAAATACATAAACCAAGTAACAGAGTGCTTGTTACACAATGTACTTACTTGTTCCAAGTAATGAAAGTTGCCCTCTGTGTAGAAATGCCAAGACCAACAATTTGATTCATCTCCATTCCTGCAGCTACAAATAGACACAGATAAAACACAGGTTTAAAAGTCAGTGAAATTTGTCTCCACAGTATTAAGGTATAGAAAAGAAATCTTTCAATATAACCTTTACCAAAAAAAATCTCAATTTAGCATTTATTAATAAAATTGGAACTAATAATAAGATATTAAGATGATTTTGTAGTGATTTTTTATCTAAAAGGGGAATCATTCCAATAATAACAAAATTGTTTTTTGTTTTAAATTTTCAGAAAAAAACACTATTCAAAGTATAAGTCAGATTTCATTTTCACCTTCCTAATGCTAGGAGACCAGATCTTAATTTAAGTAGTGAGCTACCATAAAAGAAGTTAGCTGAGGGCCACCCTGGTGTGCAAGGAGTGAAACACAGCACTGTGGAGCTGACCATAGCCACTGCAGCACAGGTTTGATCTCCACTAGGAGGGTGACCCATAGGGTACAAAACTGTCCTTAACTCAGGGTTAAAACTCCCACATATACATATATTCACAACATAATATATTCACAACATATATTTACATCCATTACTCCCCTCAGCAGTGTATTTCAGTGTATCTGCTTGTCCTGTTTCCCACTTTGTTCCTGGTGAGTCCTCTCACGCCCACATCTGTGGCCTATACCCCAATTCTTGAATGTGTAAATAATCAATCTTTAAAGGAAAAAAGTTAGCTGATGGCAAAAAAGGAAACCTCAGTGAAAGTAGCATAATTGTTGAAACTCAGGTCTTATTTTCCACATAAATAGATGTTAAAAATAAAAACATTTGGGGGGGGCCAATTTTTTAACACAGCAACTCAAGTGTTTTCCATGATATTCTTTTATGAAGCATTTTCCCCACTGGGAAACTTCTACTTGAGCACTGAGGAAGAAACACCACCCCCTATTCAGGCACCTTTCCAAAAAAATTTCACCTGAATTTAATCATGAGGAAATAATCAAGATAACCACAAGATGAGGGACAATCTATTTTAAAATGGCCTGTGTTTTTGAAAGCTAACAGTGTCACAAAGAACAGGCTCTAGACTAGAGATGAAACAAAATGACTGCAGTCCAGAATCTTTAGATTGTTATTAATGACAAAGGTCAGAGGGAAACACTGAACACTATAATAGAAAAATTACGTTACATTTTAATTTAGTTAAATTTCCTTGTGCTAATTACATTATATTTATATAAGAGAATGTCCTTTTCTCTGGAGATAATATTTAAGTATTTCGCAGTGTGCAGGTAACCTCAAATGTACCCTCAAATGAGTCAGCTAAATCAGTCAGGATGACAAACATTATAACATGTCTGAATCTAGGAGAAAGGCGTAAAGGTGTTCAATTATTATCCTTGCAAATTTTTAAAATAGGTTTTGAAATGTCTCTAACTGAAAAGGTGCAAAGAATAAAAGCAAATGTCAGAAAAATGAAGCAAAAACCTTTTATAATTCCTATTTACAGGTCATCTTTCACCATGTTCTTAAAGAATACTGCACTAAAATGTTTATGAAGAACTAACATTTCAAACCATGGCTGCAGCCAGTAGAGCACTTTGTATCAAGAGGTCACACAGGAAAAACAAAATATAACAAAAATTTATTTTACATGACAGGTAACATAGTTGTAAAACTCATAAAAGCAGGAACTGTTTTTGTAACTTCATTTATAAAGCCCTGGCATTTTATTTATTTTTTTACCTTAAGATTTATTTATGCATACAAGAACTGGGTGTCGGCTACAGGAGTGGGGTGAGGTGAGGGGATTCACCCGAGGCAGAGTGGGGAGCAGAACAGGCAGATCTACTGAAACACACTGCTGAGGGGAGCAGCAGGTGAAACAGGAGAGGTCTGCTGTGCCATTATGGTCCCCAGCTCCCTGGCGGGCTGGGGATCAAACTTGTGCTTCAGTGGCTGGCAATTGCTTGACAGAGCTGTCTTTAACCTCTGCACAACCAGGGAGGCCCTCTGGGCATTTTATAGACAAAAGAAGGCAAATCCCAACTAGCTACAACCTGGTATGAAGAAGGGTGAGGTTTTATGCTGAGGCTGAAAAAGACTTGCACCAAAGGCCAGCTCGGCTGTTATCCTTCCTTGACAAAGTAGCTCCCTGCAAACAGCAAACATGCCCTGAAGATACTCGGAAAATATGACCTCAATAAAATACTATGTGTACATCTATAACTTAGGAAACACACAAAATTCTAGACTTCTGAAGAAAACCATTACAAATAAAATGTACTTTAGCATTTTTATTTTTATAAGTCCAATTACCTTTGACAGATTCTTTTATTACAGCAATAAATTGAACCCAGAGAACATCAGGGTCAATTTCTACCCAGCCAGCTTGAGGATAAAGGTTTTCTACCTATTTGTAAAAAGAGAAGATTTAGTGAAAACAACATTAGATAAGGTCACTAGCATCTGTGTCTTAAGACTATGGTTAAAATAAAAAACATTATTTTATTTTTATTTAATTCATTTTAGTGTTAAAATGGAAAAATGCTATGTGAAATAAAAAGAACTATAAACCAAAATAACAGTAATTATGCTATGAATTTACAGATTTTAGATGTATTTATTTTAATTATTTTTCTCCTTGTTCTTTTTATTTTCCAATTGTTCCACAATAAAGATGTATTATTCTTACAAAAATTAAAAGTCAAGACTTTTTTAACCTTTTTTTTATATTTTAATTTGGATTTAGTCATATTTTTGCTCTCCATTTACATACAAGTTCAAAAAAGAAAAACCAACAAATAAAGTTCTGTGCTTGAGCAAGCACACTGCACTGGGACTTTTCCATTGACCGCAGATATAAAACCTGATCAGAGAGAAACATGGAGCTATTTGTGAATTCTAAAAAATACGCAGACAGGCAGGGAAGAAGACAGAAATTCAAATACCTAACTCGTGGTAAGTGTCCCATTTTTATTCTGATATCCGTGGCCCAAATTTAAGGCAACTTAAAAATGAGAAATGTATAAAAGGTGCAGAAGAAACTCCAGGAGCAGCTCTCATGTTTTGGCTAATGCTAAGAGGGAATACTAAAGATGTTCCCATCCCTTTTTTATTTTTTTCCCTTCCTCTGCCTCCATACTTTAACAAGGCTGTCCTGTCCAATGGTGGTGACAACAGTAATAACCATAAGCATGTAAGTTACTGAGAGGTACAACTTCCTCTCCATCTGAAGAGCCGTTTGTAAACCCAAATGAATAAGGTGAATCCCCAAGGCTTTTTTTCTGTGCTCTTGTTGCCTTGTCTCACCTGCTCGCAGAGGAAGTAGCTAGAAGCTCCCATTTTCTAACAAGAGGACCCAATAGGAGAGGCTCAAGGACTAGGAAATAGCAGGAATGTCTCACAGAAAGGCTTGGGAAAGCTACTGCAGAAAGTCGTGTGTGAACTCCGAGGTTCACTTTAAAGCTGCACTTGTGTAAATTTAATTCGACAAGCATAACAGAGACATTAAGAACAGAACTAAGATACAGACTATGCTACCAGGTCCCAGAATGACCACTGGGTGGCACATATACAGGGCAGATTCAAATAGCACTGCTAAGATTTTGAAAACAACTAACACTGAAGCCACAGACCACAGAGGGTTGATTACATTTTATCTGCTCTTTGATTGTATCTTGAGCCCATCTGTATTAACTGCTGAAAGAAAAACATCAACGTTCACCATAGGAATCACATAAGACCCTGTCATTTAAAATAGCCAAGACACAATCTAAAATTACAAGGTATGTGTAGAATCAGAACAATCGCAACTCACATGGTAAAAGATAGTCAGTAGATGTTAATGCCAAGATGAGAAAGACTTTAAAGCTGCTTAAGTATAAAATTGCTCCAAGTAGAGAGAATTCCTTTGGAAAAAAAAAAAAAGAAAGAAAGTTTAAAAACCTTAACAAAGACATAAAACAAAATAAAAAAATGAAAATTTCAAAATACAATAATAACTAGTGGAGTAAAAGAAAAGGAAGGATCTAGTCAAAGGTGCAAACTTTAAATTAGAAGATGAATAAGCTCTGGAGAGCTAATAGAAAGAATGGTGACTATGGTTCATAATAATCTATTGGATCTGGAGTTTGCCAAGAGCAGTTCCCAACTGTTACATACACACACATAAACATGGTAACCATGTGTGGTAATGGGCATATTAGCTTGATTCCATTATAAATGTATACTAAAATATAATGTTATACACCTTTCTCAATTCCTCAATAAAGCTGGAAAAATCAATTAAAGAATCAAAACTAAAAAATTATGAATGGACTCAACCAAATGAAGAGAATAGAAGGCAATAATCTTGAAGACAGATCAATAGATATGAACTAATCTGAACAACAGAGAAAAAAGATTGGGGGGAAATGAACAAAGCCACTGGGTTCTGTGGGACAAGGGCAAAATGTCTACTATTTATCCATGGTGCAGGGGAGGAAGAGTACAGTGCAGAAAAAAATAGGGGAAGTAATAATGCTAAAATCTTTACAAGTTCAGTGAAAGGTTTAATATTTGAAATATTGAAATCCACATTCAGGATACACAAAAAGTCCAAATAGGACAAATTTAATCACTGTTTGTTTGTTTTTGCATTCCATTGTTAACCAAACCTAACAATTAAGTGGATACCCTTTTCCCTGCTCCCAAGTAAGAACTCAAGTCTAGAGTCAGGACTCAGCTGGTCTGCTCCTGTGAAGAGGCTGAGCCTGTTCCCCCAGAAGAAGAAAAAAAATCAGCATTTGGAAGCTGCTGTTTGCAAAGAAATTAGTCACTTCAAAGAATATCAATTCTGAGGTTTGTGATGGTGCTAAAGCTCTCAGTTTCAAAAATAATATGAGACTCAAAATATTTTTAAAGATTTTATTTATTTATGCACACAAGAACTGGGGTGAACTCAGACCACAGTGGCTGACAACAGCTTGATAGTGATGAGACTTTAACCCTGTGCCACCAAGGAGACCTAAATAGGGTAAATTTTAACTACCTTCTTTGTTTTCCTCAATGCAGAG